ATGAAGAGGTTGTGAGTTCGATTAACGCCTAGCGAAACAGGTAAGTAGTGGTAATAAAGACCGGAAGTATTCGAGTTTCCCATCAGAGGCATCGCGATGTCAACCCTCTAACCGAAATGTGCGTTGAAGAAGGATTTGTTAAATGAGATCAAACAAAACGGTATGGCTTACTAATCAAAATGTAAGTCTGAAAATTAATAGATCACGCGATTAACACTCATTGATGCGCATATAGTGCAGCCAACCACACAAGTAAAAAGAAAGGTCAATAGATCCGGTAGCAGAATACAGAATTTTTCATGAAATAGGCACTGAGATGCGGAACTTTTGGAAAATGTGGGTGATGGAAAACCCCCCCCCCCCCCCCCCCTTAATGAATATGAACTGTAATACAATGTTAAAACTAGTACATAAATCCACATCTGTATGCTTAGAAACATAAAGACTAATCGAGTCGAGTTGAAGTAAACAATGGTATGAGAACATACTGTCTTCACATCTCAATGACTGAGTCGTGACAACTACTAATAGAATTTAAGTAGAGACCTGACATCAACAACTGCCTTTCTAGTCAACTAATTCAAGTGATTAGCATGTAGATGGTGTTATGGTAGAGGATGTAAGTTCAATCCACACGGTTCCAACATTGTGATAGATGAATAAGACAGTATGAGATTACCTTCCCTTATAATTGCAGAGATGATTCACACACAGACACACACACACGTTCGAATTGGACGAAAAGGTAAAGATACATAATCGATTTAGTCCAGTTGACAAAAGCAACTAGAAGAGGCGAGAGTAGGGTTAGCTAGTGGACACAAGAACAGAGTAAGCCAATGGGGGAAATTGAGAGAAAAAAAATTGCACTCATACAAGTGGTTGAGTTGAACCTATTTTTAGCAGTCAACTAAAAATAAATGACAGACGATAAATCTAACTAAAATTGATTGCTGGTATTCAAGGCAGAGTACGCTCAAATCTATTCGAATTCAAATCTCGAGCACAAGAGGCAAGACATATGAAAATTGCCTTGTTAAGTACAAAATGGAGATGATCATTCTTAACCTTCAATCACTTAAATACCAACGAAATTTACGACAATTCTCAATCGACATCAGCGAAGATTTCGCCAATAAATTGCAAATTAAATCTAAGATAATACTCCAACAAGATGTAAGAAATTAAATGAGGAGAAAGTCGAATGAACAAAAGATCTCCACAATCCACGTATATTTTGACGGATTAAGGGATGGACTTTTTGAAAATCTATAGTCGCACCATATGTGACACAAAATGACATCTCTTAGAAGCTCCAAATATTATAATTTGGGGTTCAACCCTTGCTGGTTTTCTAAACAATTATTCTTAAGAATACGATAGACTTACCTCCACGTGGTGCACCCTGGGCAACGTAAACTCATACGGCAAAATGGCCTATTTATCGGCAGTTGAATTCTGACTTCAAACTACCATCACCCTCCTCACTGTATGTCATATTCGACCCCTTCCACAGCACTCATCTTACTTTTTCTCTGCCTTTTTCGACCTTCGTCTTTGAAACACCCTTCTGTTCCCCCCCCCTCTCGACTTTTTTTCACTTTGAAGTTCCTCCTCCCCTCTGTGGAGCCTGCAGTCAACTAAAGGGCTAATGATAACTATCAAAACGGCTGGCATTTGATATAAATAATGGTTTAATTTTGTCCATCACGGATATAACACTTTTAATAGGGCTTGAATTCTCCCGTTAAAACCACATCGCCTGAAGAGTGACCCCCACCCCATAAGTAAAATTTTTATCAGCACAACACAGTAACTTAGGAGATAAATTTCTCAGGACCGAAAATAAGGCTCCTTTCTCGATTGAAAGTAGTTGGCGAGAGGAAACTGCAAGGCAAAACAAGATATGAATAATGACAATCATTGGTTAGAAGTGGAGAGTTAGACTCAACAAAGATCAGGGGGATTCGATGTCAGTATTTCAAGGGGAATTTGTTTTCCAAGAAAAAAACATCACGACACATTCCTGACAGCTCAGAAGTGAAGAAATAAAAAATTTTGAACCACCCATAGCCAAAATCTTTCTCCACTTTTTCCTTAAACTGTTTCCTCTCAACAATAGCTATGTCTCCGCATTTTATCAAAATAATGTAAAGATCATTCATTCAAAGATCATTCACTGAAGGCCTTTTCAACCCTCTGTTGAGGCAGGAGATCGTAAACACTGCGGGCGGGAATGCATTTTAATGATTTATTACCAAGGCAACATGACCTTTTCAAATCTAATTGAGTAGCTTTAAATTTGAAATAAGTTCACGAGATACATAATAGGTATTTGCAAAGGGGAAGCATAGGAAGGGTGTTTGCGTGATGCATATTTGAACGAAGATATTTTCTAGAACCCAAACACGCCTATGGGACCAATGTGTTCGACAATGCTTAGAAAATCAATAATTGCGCCAAAGATAAGACGACATGAAAAGCGAAGTTCAGGAACACATAAGAATTAATTTTGCTAATTGATAGCGCTTGCTTTCCCGCCTATAAAGTACTTGGTGTTAATTTTGGGGATTAAAGTTACGAAAGCATACGCTCGCTTTATCGATTGTGTTTAATTAGCATGAGGCAAGTAATGAAGCAACGAGGCTGTGAGACAACGTGAATTGTTCATTTTTTTGTGAAATGGACTGAATTGGCAAATTTCTACTTGAAAATTGAAGTCTTGGGGAGCTGACTTTTCGGGTGAGGAGCGTGCGATAGACTTACCTCCACGTGGTGCACTCTGGGCAACGTTTACTCATACGGCAAAAAAGTCTATTAACCGGCAGTTGGCTTCTCACTTCAAACTACCATCACCCTCCTCACTGTATGTCATATTCGACTAATTCCACATTACTCATCTTACCTTTTTCTCTTCCTTTGTGTCTGTCTCTTTCGCATCTGTGAATCACTCGTCTTTTCCCTCTCCACTTTTTCTCACTTCGATGTTCCTCCTCCTTCCTGTGAAGCCCAAAGACAACTAAATGGCTAATGATAACTATCAAAACGCCTGCTATTTGGTATAAACTTTTCGGGTGAACACCTCGGTCGATTGAAAGTTCTAGTATAAGCTCCATAAAAATATCCACTAATGACTTCTTTCATGCTAAAAGGGAAAAGGAGGTACATCTTCCACTTAATACTAAAACATTAGAAATTTGAAGCTGAAAAAGAACATTGTTAAGAAAGTGATGTACTTTTAATGAAGGAAAGTAAGATAGAAACCATAAAATAGTAGGGTCAAGATAGATATTAAAACAACTGAATTGCAAATCTAATAAACTCTACACCAAGTCGAAATGAATAATCAAAACGCAGACGATTAAACCTTTCAAAGTTAATTATTTCAACAACAAAAAAAACACAAAGCACAGGAGGAAATTGGAGTGTATACTAGCAAATCTGTGTGAACATAAGCCAAATAATGAATAATGAATGTCATTTAGAGCAATTTTTGCCCGTTCCGCCAAAGTATTTCATGCTGGTAATGGTTCTAATAACACGAAGGTGCTGGTGACCTTGGCGTTCTAAACTATTTACGACTAGATATCTTCGTACTTTGGTCGCCTCCACCACATTGAACTTAAAACCTTCCCAACTTCCTGCCCACCTCGTACCTCTCGATGCACATACAGGTAAGCGAAAAACTAATGGAGAAAATCACTTGACAACCAATGTGAATCAGTAAGAGGCAACTTTAACTGGCATCAGCAAAAAGATGGATTGGGCCCAATTTGCTCGATTTGAACCAAATTTAATTAATGAAAATCAGAGAAATTGAATGGACAAGTGAATTTGGGAGGGAGGGGGGGGGGGGGAATTTCCCATACTAACGAAGCACAAAATCGATACCTGCCAAGGGGGGGGGAGAGGATGGCGTCAAGAAGTATGAGACACGAGGAGAAGAGTAATAGCCCTACCGAAAAACCAAAAGTTACGTAATCCAATCACGCATTGGAAGTGTTGAATATAGAACGCGTTCTACTCGGAACTTCGTCTACTACTACATATTTTATGAAGCGCACAGTTGAAACTGAAGTAGCAGAAGCAGTGAGGGAAGGAAGTAATGAAATATTAATCAGCGCAGTGTGTTATCAAATGAGCGTAGTCGTATCGCGGGAGGGTAGTATTGAAGTTGGCAGTGAACAAGTCATACGCGTCAAATGGGAAGCCCTCGGGCATAAAAGGAGAAGAAGAAAAAAAAAAAGACGCACTTTCAAAGAAAAGGACCTGCAAGAGACGAAGTTCTTTTGATTATGACAGGGAAGTTAACTTCAAATCCTTCTGAAATGATCCTTTGAAATGAACTCAAATTAACAGAGCGAAGGTAAGAAACGCATCATACTTCAGTTATTGAAAAGGAATTAAGTAAAGGGGAGCACTGGCATTGAAGAAGAAAAAGAAGAAGAAAACGAAGTATTACTTTCACAAGACAAAAAAAGTACATGATTTCAACTCGGTTTCTTCTCCATCTCAGTGCCAAAGTTTAACTATGAAGCACAGCACAGTTTGAGTGAATCAATTACTTCATTAGGAATTAGCCAATATTTAATACGATTTCATGGCTTTTGGGATCTTATTGCCTACACAAACAATAGATAGCATTCTCGAAAAGACACAACCACCTATTGTATACTAATTAGTTGAAAAAGTAGCATAGTAGCATCCATGTGCATAGTCGGATGCATAATCTCCGAGAGGCCAATCACTACAACACCCCTTGGCGTATTTTATGATTTTACGAATTGAGACTGTTCATATCTAAGCATAAATAAGTAACAAGCCAATTTTTAAAAAAATGACATTTGCAAACAGTCATCTTGAATAAAGAAGGAGGGGGGGGGGAGTACGATCGTGAAGCCTTTTGGAGTAAGAAATACGACTATCAAATATACACATGGTTGTGTACCAACGGGTAGAGAGGGCCGGACCTCTGCTTTCGAACCGAATTAGACATCAAATCACAAATTCACCGTACTCACCTCCCAAATGTAAGCATCCTTCTCGGCACTAGCCCTTCCCGAAGCAATTTGTTGATGTGTAAACGCCAGAAGGGACTCCTGTTTGAAAAGTTCATCTTCCAGGTCAGAGAGACTGTCTGGTAAGTCAAGAGGCATTCCAGCAGCATCTGCAGAAGGTGGCGGTGGTGGGAGGGGGGGCTTGTAGGGTCGATAAGTGTACACCGGATGAGGGAACAGCCAATGCGAACTGGAGATAGGAGACCATTTATTGGGACAACCAATAACTCGAGTTGCCTCTTCCTCGGCGATTTCTACCTTGACCTCCTCTGCAGGAGGGGGGGGGGGGGAATAAGCAAAAAAATAATGAGCTCAGATTAAATTCTGTGAATATAAGCAACAATCTCCTCGAAAAAGGAGTAATTACCTAAAGATTACCCTATCGGTTAATGACCTACGAGGCTTGATATAAGTGCAAATGAATTTCGTTCATGTGACGCTCAATGAGGTATTAGAATAGACTCTCGATATACGAAAGCAAAAAGAAGATGGGCATAACAACGGCGAAAAGGAAAAATGAATTTTTGAGAGACGATTCAAGTTATGAAAAAAGAAAAAGAATTTATTGATTTACCTCCTGGTGAAGGTTGAGAAAGTAAAAGAGCCAACAAGCGATGCGACATTTTGAGAGTCGGTGAGAACACAATAACCAAGTTGGCTAGGGTCATCTTATTATCCCCGGCACGGTTAATAACCCGCGTCATATGCTGCAGGAGCCACGCAAGGAGATATTTATTAGGACGGGGTAACTCCCGATGAATGAGTTCTGCCAACCGCCGACGACGATCGGCACAAGTAGCACTTGAGTCAGACGAGAGCTGATCACAAGCGGATTCAATGGAAGGGCCCAAATCAACAGTGAGGAGGGGTTCAGGCAGGCTTCGAAGAAATTGTTTGAGCACACTGGTCACTACTGCGGGGTCGTGAGGTGGCGGAGGAGGAGTGAAGAATACGTGGGGTGGACTCGTTCCTCCTTGCTGGCTGTCAATCATCAGCTTGTCAGCTATACAAATAAATAAAGCTGATCCAGATTTGCCAAATATGCAGGAAACGAGGAAAAAGGCAGAAGAATATTTGTGGCATGCATGATGACTACGGTCCTTTATATGGGAATTAATCTTTCCTTGAAATATTTACACATGAAGACATGTATAAATGTTTAGTCTCGGAGCCCTTTAATAAGGTATCAAACTACCTATTAATGGCACTATGTCGAACATGGCAATCATGACCTCCTTCAAACCGCCACTTTTCACCTGATCTAGTACAATAACTGCTTACTTTCGAGAAATTAGAACTTGCAATTTATGAGTTCTATGGGAGTTTTTAATCCGAAAAAAATCAGTTTCCTTCATTAATATTTTTAATTCGATGTGGAGTACAATCGATTTAATACAAATTTATCCCCTTAATTTACATTAATATAACTCGCAATCCAACATTTTACCCAACCTTTGGTCCAAGAGAGGGAAATAAACAAGGATGACACATTCTGACAAATGACGGAGCTGTTTAAGCATTACTTATTTTAAGCTAAATAAGTAAATTCTCTGTCAAAATAATAAAAAATAATAATATTCATGACATGTTGTATTATTTTCTACTTTTAGAAAACTGCTATTTGCTCAAAGAAGAGCGTTTGGGAACCATGTAACAACGGAGTGACATAAAATGAAACATAGCGAATGCATTAAAGGTTTCGGATAGAGGAATTCAAAAAGTAATTAAGTTAAGAGAACGTGAATCAATTAAGCGAAATTTAAACATTGCCCAATTGTTTTGAATCACGAAAGCAAAAAAAAACCTTGATTAAACCATCAATGATATTTGCATTAGAAAGGGTGAGGGTTTATGGGTTTAATAATAATAATAATAATATATTATTAAATTGCTTTGAAGCGCCGTTATTCCACACTCTTTTTTCCTCGTATTTTTCGATGAGGAGATAAAATCCCGCCATTTGTTCATTGGGAAAAAAGAAGGCAAAATAAAAATGCATAAATTATGGAGAAGATTTGAAAACGGGATCATGAAATATGGCCAGCGGCATTTAGAGTTATGTATCAGGAAAGAAAGGAACGCCGATTTTCCATACACCCGAAAGAAGAAACCACCAGGTAAGTGGTGATCAAGGTGGAAGAAGGTGGAAGTAGCGTCGTAGAAGGAAAAAATAACTAATTATTACCACCAAGTCAAGTAATTTATTTATATCAAATGGCAAGCGTCTTGATGATTATCATTAGCCCTTTAGTTAACTTCAGGCTTCACAGAGGGGAAGGAACATCAAAGTGAAAGAAAGTCGATAGGGGG